TCTGGGATTTAGCTAAATCTCTTCTTAGGGTGAAAAATCATATCTCAACACATGTACAAATAATGATAATAAAGCTACCAATACACTAAATATGTAATTAAATATGCATTAAAATTAGAAATCCAATAAATGTACTTAAAATAGGCACTAAATAGATATTAAAAATAAGAAGAAATAGATAAACTGGAAACTAAAAAACAATAGAAATGATGAAACTAAAAGCTGGTTCTTTGAAAAATTAATAAAATTGCTGAATCTTTTACCAATATAATTTAAAAAGGTAAGGACAAAAAATCAAATCAATATAACCAACGAACAAGATGACTTCACAGCAAAACCAAAAGAAATAGAAAGATTAATCAAGACATATTATAAACAAAGTAGAGGAGTACCTTCAAAAATATAAAGTACTCACATATAGAGGACCAAATATAGTTCTTAAACACCAATTCTCAGAAAAGAAAATATAACTTGTAATTACTAAAGAAAAAAATTCCAGGAACTGATGAATTCAGAGATGAACTCTTATCGAACATTTAAGAAAGAATTAGTTCCAGTACTACACATACTATTCTCAAAAATTAAGGAAGAAAGGATCCTATGAGATTCTTTAATAAGACAGATAGTCCTAATATCTAACAAGGATAAAGCACAGAGAGAGAACTATAGAATGGTATCATTAATGATATCAATTTAAAAATTTTTTAATTTAAAAATTTTAAAGGAATTTAAATTTAAAATTTAATTTAAAAATTTTAAAGGAAATCCTCTGAAACAGACAACAGCAATTCATTCAAGAAATCATCATGACCAATTTGGATTTGTATCAGTAATGAGAGAATGGTTCTACATTAGGAAAACAATTAAAATAATCATGTTAAAAAAAAAAACCAACATACTCCCTGTCATCCAGGCTCTAAATCTAGATGTCATCCTTGATTCTTCACTCTCATCCCCAGATCCAGTCTTTTGCCAAGGTCTATCTTACCTTACTCCCATCTCATTTCTTCTCTGACATTGCTACCAACCTGATACAAGCCCTCATCACCTCGCACCTGGACTATTATAATAGCCTACTGGCAAATCTCCTTGCTGCATATCCCACCATACTCCACCACTCAGCTGTCAAGAGTAATATTTCTAAAGTCTAGTAGGTCTGACCAGGTCACCCCTTCCCCAGACCTCCACTTATTCAACTCTAGTGGCTCCCTATCATCTCCAGATTCAAAGCCCTTCATAAACTGCCTCCATTATACCTCCCCAATAAAGCCCAATTCCTTGGTGCTCCACCAACAAGATGCTCTGTCTCCTGACTGCAGGCATTTTTACTGGTTGTCTCCTAATGCCTAGAATTATCTGGAATGATTTCCATCCTTATCTCTGTCTCCTGGCTTCCTTCAAGTCCCAATTAAAATCTTACCTTCTACAGAAAGCCTTTCCTGATTTCCCATAAATCTAAGTGCCTTCTCTCTGTTGATATTTCTGATTTATCCTGCATATAGTTTGTTTGCATGTTGTCTTCTTCATTGAACTGTGAGTTCTTTGTGAGTTAGACTGTCTTTGCCTTTCTTTGTATTCCCAGCACAATAACACCAAGCCTGGAACACAGTAAGTGCTTAATAAATGTTTATTGACTGATTTTGGTAATAATTGTGCAATACCTATACAAAGTACAGGTATACCTCAGAGATCCTGTGGGTTCAGTGCCAGACCACCACAATAAAGCAAACCTCATAATAAAGCAAGTGACACCAATTTTTTGATTTCCCAGTGCATATAAAAGTTATGTTTACATTATACTGTAGTTTATTAAGTGTGCAATAATATATAAAAAAATGTAAATACCTTAATTTAAAAATACTGTGTTACTAAAAAAAATGCTAATCATTTGAGCCTTTAGCAAATTGTAATCTTTTTGCTGGTGGAGCATCTTGCTGCAGTGTTGACAGCTTCTGACTGATTGGAGCGGTGGTTGCTGAAGGTTGGGGTGGCTGTGGCAATTTAAAATAAGACAACACTGAAGTTGGCCCCATCAGTTGGCCCTTCCTTTCGCTTGAACACTTAGAGGCCATTGTAAGGTTATTGGCTGACCTAATTTCAATATTGTTGTTATCTCAGAGAATAGGGAGGCTGGAGGAGAAGGAGAAAGATGGACTTGAACAATTGGCCAAGCAGTCAGAACACACACAACATTTATTAAGTTCGCATCTTATATGAACATGGTTTGTGGTGCCCCAAAACAATTACAACAGTAACATAAAAAGTCACTGATCATAGATCACTGTGATAATAATGAAAAAATTTGAAATATTATGATAATTACCAAAATGTGACACAAGTGATACAGTGTGAGCGCATGCTTTTGGAAAAATGGCTCCAAAAGACTTGTTTAATGCAGGGTTGCCATAAATCTTCAGTTTGTAAAAAACTCAATATCTGTGAAGTTTAATAAAGCGAAACACAATAAACAAGGTATGCCTGTATAGGCACTGAGGGATTTTTTTTTATGTCAAGGAAAATGTCTAAATGAAAACAATGGCTTATTCAAGGGGGTATAAACTGGAACCTTTCTTAATAAAAATAGGAGTAAAGCAAAGATAACCTACTCTCCTACTTTTATTTGATATAGTTTTGGAAATTCTAGCAGTAACAGTAATATGAAAGGCTCAAAATTAAGTGTGTAAAGATAGGTAGAGAAGAGATGAAACTATCTATATTTGCTGATAACATGATGATTTACTTAGAAAATCCTGGAGAATCAGCAAAGATAGTAATGAAGGCAATAGCTTTAGTAAAGTTATAGGCTATAAAATAAGCCCTCAAAAATCAACAGCATTTTTATATAATAACAAAATTCACCACTAAAAATGTGCCTACCCTTTGACCTAGCAATACCTCTACTAGATCTGTATCCCAGGGATACAGAAAAGGGAAAAGGACCTAATGTACAAAAATATTTCTGGCAGCTCTTTTCGTGGTTGCAAAGAATAGGAAATTGAGGGAATGTCCATCAGCTGGGGAATGGCTGAACAAAATGTGGTATATGAATGTGATAGAATATTACTGTTATCAGCGCCAACAAAATAGCATACTCACTGACTTCAAAACTACAAACAGGAAGAAAAACCATGTGTACAAAATCTAATGTGATTGTTACAAAATTATAAAGAACAAGTATGGCTTGAAAGAAGAGATGGATTTCCCACTTAGTGGAATTGAAAGATCTGCAAGTATTGTACATTGCCAGTGTTTTCAGAATTTTTCAGCATCTGACTAATTATGTTGATTTTTTTAACCCTTATTTCTTTTTTTTTTTGTCTTTCAAAAAGATGCTTTTTTAAAAAAATAAGATGACTTTCTTGGAGTGGGAAGAGGAATAATAGGAGAAACTAAAGTGATGTTTTTTTAAAAAGTAAATTAATGAAAATTCTTTTTTTATAAAGAAAGAAAAAGGAAAAAATGGAATAAAAAAATTCTTCTGAAACACTCAAAGCAGCAGCTTGAGTTTCCCCTAAGGCTGAAGGTGTTAATCTCAAGTTTTAGAGGACTAATAAGTTTTTCTATTATTACAGCTTCCTTCCTCCACCTCTTTTTTTTTTTCCATGCACTAAAATACTCAGGTTTAGAAGCATATCTTGGCTTATCCCAATATCATTCTTTTTCCAGTATCATCACCCATAGCTCTTTGCCACTGGGTGCTATAGGCCAGTGTCAGGCAGAGTGTTGAAACTCTGCTTTGTTCTTGAAATAAGAAATAATGTCTGCTATTTTGGCCTCCTAATTTGCAAGGAAGTTCAAGAAGCTGTCCTAAACTTAGATATCCACATGGCACAAATGAGTGGCCTAGCACAAGCAAGTGGATATAAAAGAATTGTTTTATCTAGTTTATAAAGATGCAAGTGCTGAATAGAGAGGAAGGATATATGTTGCTAATTTTGATTCTTTTGAGTTTAGCAGCAAGACTTCCCCTTGTCTTCCTTACCCCCAAGGAAAAGGCCTTTGAAATAATGGCTGATGACACAGGCCTTCATAGTATGAGAGGACCATGATGTCTAAGAAGGCACTTGGCCTTTTGTGCTAGATGGTTTTATTTGTCTTGGGTTGGGAGTTAAGGTAAGGACACCAGATACCACAGGCAGCTAGGTGGTGCAGTGGATAGAGGGTCAGGTCTGACTCATTTTCCTGAGTTCAGATCTGGCCTTAGATACTTTCTAGCTCTGTGACCCTGGGCAAGTCACTTAACCATGTTTGCTTCAGTTTCCTCATCTGTAAAATGAACTGCAGGAGGAAATGGCAAACCTCTCCAATATTTTTGCCCCTACAAGGGGTCACAAAGACTCAGACACGGCTAAAGCTACTGAACACCACCACCACCACCACCACCACCAGATACCATATATCCAGGGGAAAGCCTTAAGTTATGCATAAAACAAAAAAACCTTTATGCTTTATCTTTCCATGTAGGGAGGGGGGATTATTGTCTACCATCATTCCCTAACTTCCAATGGCTGTCTGCTAGGGATTTCTAGAAAATTAAATCCGTACCAGTGCTGAGAAACTTCCCATGTAAAAGCCCTGGCTTCTCCCTCCAGCCTGCTTTTTACCCTTTTTAGTGTGTATAGGCTTGACTTCAGCCTTCCACAAAGTCTAAAGGGAGTGTTCTCTATTTCATGCTCTTTAATTTTGCTTTATTACATTGCAGTAGAGATTTAGTTCATGTCTCACTTGTACACCATTTCTCATACTACCCAGCTCCTCCCCACGGATCTACCTCGTAATAGCAAGTCTACTGCCAAGCGTCTGTTGTTTAACTTCAGGTCTATTTTGGGAATGAAGCAGGGATGGGGTCAGTTCTTCCATCACTGAATTTAAGTACAGTACTTATTAGCCATGGCTTCCATATAGAATGTACTGAAGTATTATAACCTAACATGCATTTGCTTTTTGGAAACAGTTTTATTTCTTATACTGATTTTATTTATTTGATTTTTTTTTTTTAGCGTCTTGCTCGTACTGGAATAATAGTTACTACAAGTGAGGCGGTGCTGTTACAGCTGGTAGCTGACAAAGACCATCCAAAATTCAAGGAAATACAGAATCTAATTAAAGCAAGTGCCCCAGAATCTGGTCTACTTTCCAAAGTGTAGGATTTTAAAGGATTGGCTACTAATCTACCCTAAATAAGAACAAAATCATAAACATAGATGTGCTGTCTTCTCACATGTACTGCAACTGAAATGTTAAAAACTGACTACTTTTTTTGCTTGTCTTCACAAAATTGATTTGATTAGTCTATTTGGGTACTAGTATTTGGTCACAAAAATCAGGGGTTTTCAGTGTTTGTTATTTATTTCTTTCCTTCATTTCATCATTGTTCTTTCATCTTTAAAACACTATACTTGTCCCTATTTGTTGTAACAGCTCTTAAAAGTTCATACTTCTGTGAAATTTCTCAATTGGGCACTTTGTTAATAATAAAAAGTACCTGTGAGTGGTTTCACTTCTGACATTAACATAAGATTTATATATAAATGTCATATGGATTCCATGTTTTCTCACAATGTAAACTGATTAAATGAAAATTATTTTAAAAGAATTTCAAAAACATTCTGAATTTTTTTTTTATTAAAAAAGTGTTTTACTTATTCTTTAAGTAGGAGCAAATTTTCAAGTTATGATATATTAATTACTTTGGGCAGCAGAAGCTGGTCTTATTTATTAATACTCACCATTGCCTTGTTACTTCTGAGTAGAGAATTATCAAACACCAATACTTTTCTCTGTTTTGCCTTTATTGTATTTTCTCTCCCTTGATAGCTTCTGTGGCTCTACTTTTATCTTTTCCTGGAGGACAAGCAACTTCTTCCTCATCAGGGCATCTAACTCCCTCTTCGACATGAAAAGTCTCAGTTTTTTAAAAATTACTCATATATATGGTTGTTCTTTTCCTTCCTCTCTTACTCTGCCAACATTTCTCTACTTTACAACTTCTTAACAAGGGTTAATTTTTTCCTTTACTGCTTTTTTTCCCTTTTGAAGCCCCATTTCCATTTTCCAGGGAATACTTTATTGTCCCTGATAGCTGGAAGCATGGAGTGGAAAATTCTTCATTTGGGCTTTACCCTGATTAACAAGGCAAAACTCCAGACAAAGAGAATTAAATGGAATTTATTTTAAGTACATCAAAGTAGCCACATATTAACGGGCTGATAACTGGAGATCATCTATGGCTTCAAAGAGGCCCAGGTTTTATTGATTAGTTCAAATGTCGGGAGAAGAGATTGGGCCCTTGCATCTCAGTTCCTCCACAGGGTAGTAAGTACCTCACAATTTACAGGTAGGTGTATATGACAAAGAACAGGTAATAAAAAAGCTGCAGACTTGGTATTAACCTTTCCCAAACAGAGTCTCCCAACACTGACTGACAAGCAGGTCTGGGAACACTGGGTCACTGAGTCAATATAACTTTCAATAATAGTAATTTGTTAAGGGGGATAAGAATAGAGGAGTGGAGTGTTTCCCAGTTTATTTGATGTTGGCTAACTTGTGGAGTATCTTATCTATGGTGCTAGGTCTATGGGGTCATTTGGTCCCAGATGGACACTTACCCATGAAAAACTGAATGAACTGTCTTTAGTAAGCACTTGTTCAGTCGTTTCAGTCATGTCCAACCCTTTATGACTATTTGGGTGGGGTTTTCTTGGCAAAGATACTAGAGTGGTTTACCATTTTCTTCTTTAGCTCATTTAATAGAGGAGGAAACTGAGACAAACCAGGTTAAGTGAGTTGCCCAGGATCACACAGCTAATAATTATTGGAGGCACTTACTGTGTGCCAAACACTTCAGGGATACAAACTCAAAAGCAAGACAGTTCTTTCCCTCAAGGAGTTTATATTCTACTAGGGGGACACAGCACATATAAGGGAATGGGGACCAAGTCAAGTCAACATTTATTAAGCATTTACTTTGTTTCAGGCATTGTGCTAAACACCATGAATACAAACTCAATCTGAAAAAAAGTCTCTATCCTTAAAGAACTTACATTCTAATGGAGAATACCATCCAGAGGCGTAGTAGAGAAAGTACAGAGTCAGGAATACATTCTGGAAAGGAATGAAGTGGCTGGACTGGGCATTTTTCTCAAAATGGAGTGTCCGTGAGGAACCAACCAATCAAAGGAAACCGCTACAGGGGTGGAGACTGTGAGTAGTCCAGGGGTAGAGTGAACTTTCAAGGTGAGGAGGTTTCTGTGGAAGTGAAGAGGAAGTCCACAGCGTCAGTAGCCAGTGGAGAAGTGAAGGGAAGGGTGTTTTGGCTTGGGGAGCCACAGGGAAGGTGAGTGGAGCCTTAGGAAAATCAACAACTCCAGAAGCAATAGTTTGATTACTCTTCAGAGCAAGAGGTGGAGGGCAGAAAGGATATGTGCTTTGTGTCATAGCAGATGGCGGGAACATTGTACAATGGTCAGATAGAATGTGAAACATAGCTTAGGGTCCAGGACTGACTAGATGTATGCCATTTATATCTATACCGTGTTAACTCACCATTCAGGACCAGAGCATTGATATATAGGAAGTTATAACTGGGGAAACAAGAGATGACCATCTTGATTAGTTTCAGGAGTAAAAGCAAAAGAAGTCAAGAAACAAAATTATTCAAGAATGAAGGATAATAGCTAATTAATGAGGACATGATTCTTCTTTGGAACTTTTTCCTTTAAATGCCTGTCCTTTGCCATGCAGGTGATTGGGATTGTTTTCTCAAGGGAGGATCAAATGTTCCCTGATAGAGAGAGGTGTTTAAAGTATGTTCTCTTAGGAGTCTACATGTGAATACTACCTCAGATTCTATAAAAGGGTAGGGAATAAACTTTTAATATACAGAGATCTTAACATGGGGGGAAAGTTCCCAGTGATTAATATAGCTATGTATAATTGTGTATAGAAATGTATTATATATTATAAATTTGTTTACATGTTCAGAGAAAGGATGGCATTTGCAAGTACAAAATTCTAAGAAACAAACATATCTTTATATACATAATAACAATAGTCATAGAAATCACAAATCAGATACTGTGAAATTAATTGAGATAGTCCTAGCTTAAAGGACCCTACCAAAGTAATTGAGTAACTTGTTATTGGTTGGTTCTTTTATTTTATTCTGAATATTTAATCTTAAATTTAAGAATTTATTCTTAAATAATAAAACAAGCATTTTCACAACATAGTAGAATAGAAAAAAGATGTTTATACATGAAACTGCAAATCTTTTATGTATAACTTGCTATTCCTTTTAAATATGTAATAAAGTTGTCATGTAACTTTTTTCCCTTTTTTCCTTCCCTTCTCTCCCCCTGCCCTCCCCTTCCACCATGGCTACCATTAGACACAATAGGCATACACACACACACACACAGGTAAAATTATTCTATACATACTTCTATTTATCAGTTCTTTCTCCAGATGCAGATAGTGTTTTCCTTCATACGTCCTTTGTAGTTAATTTGGATATTTATTATAGTTAAAGTGACTTAATCACTCAAAGTTGTTCTTAAAATAATATTGTTGTTACTGTATACAACTTTCTCTTAGTTCTGCTGATTTCACTCTTCACTATTTTGTGTATGTCTATCTATGTTTTTCCAAGATCATTGAGTTCATCATTTCTTAGAGCATAGCAGCATTCCATCACAATCATATATCACAACTTGTTCAGCCATTCCCCATTTGGTGGGCATCCCTGCAATTTCCAGTTCTTTGCCACCACAAAGAGGCCTCCTATAAATATTTTAGAACATATAGGTCCCTAATCATCTTGGGAAGCCTACTTAGTAGTGATATTGCTGGATCACAGGATATAGGCAGTTTAGTAACTCCGTGGGCATAATTCCAGATTACTCTCCAAAATGGTTGGATCAGTTCAGAGTTCCACCAACAGTGAATCAGTATCCCATTTTCTCCACATCCCTTCTAACATTTGTTGCTTTTCCCTTCAATCATTTTAGCCAACCTGATAGGTATAAGCGATATCTTGAGGTTGTTTTAATTTGCATTTCTCTAATCAATAGTGATTTAGAGCATTTTTTTTCATATGACTATGTTATTTTGATTTCTTCATCAGAAAACTGCCTGTTCATATCCTTTAACCATTTATCAATTGAGGAATGACTTGTATTATAGATTTGGCAAAGTTCTTTATATATTTGAGATATGACACCTTTATCTGAGAATCTATCATAAATTTCCCCCCAATTTTCTGCTTTCCTTCTGATCTTGGCTATTTTTGTTTTATTTGTACAAAAACTTATTAATTTAATATAATTGAAATTATCCATTTTGTACCTCACACTGCTCTCTATCTCTTGTTTATTCATAAATCATTTACCTATCCATAAGTCTGATAGGTAATACATTCTTTATTGTTCAAATTTTCTTTAATATCTCTCTTTATATCTAGGTCATGTATCCATTTTGATCTTGGCCTGGTAGATGGTGTAAGATATTTATTGGTCTATACCCAATTTCTGCCAGACTGCTTTCTAGTTTTCCCAATAATTTTTGCCAAACAATGAATTTTTATTTCAAAAACTTAAGTCTTTACACTTGTCAAATACAAGGTTACTTGTTTGCTGTTGTAAAATGTATTTCTACTCTGTTCCACTGATCTATCTTTCTATTTCTTAACCAGTACCAGATAGTTTTTGATAATTACAGCCTTATAATATAGTTTAAGATCTGGCACTGCTATTGGTCTTTTCTTTTAGGCATTAATAATTTCTACCACTATAACTAGACTGAAACTGCTCTTTGCTCACCAACTCCAGTGCTTGAATTTATGTCCTAGTTTTTCTGTTTATTTTGTAGCATGACTTTGCTACAACAACTTAAGCTCTCTAGGCCTCTGTTTCCTCCTTAATAAATGAGACCAATAATACTTACAGTAGCTACCTCATAGTGTGAGAATAAAATGAAATAGTGACCTTATAGTGCTTTGTAGCTATAAATAACAGCTATAGAAATGTAAGCAATCAACAATCTCATCTTCATTTGTAAACATACTCTTCTCCATTATTTGGAAACATACTCTTCTCTCTCATTTACACTTAAATGAGAATGATCTAAAAATTTCAATCAAATTTACTTATTTAGCTATAAGAAAGTGTTGTTTTTATTATATTTTTTTAAAGGACTCATGTACCTGTCTTTGTACATCCAGATCTAATGTGTGAAGAAAAGAGTTAAATCTTTATAGTTATCATTGCTGGCAGAAGTAGGATCTAGAATAGAGCTAATCTTGATCTGGCTTCTGCTTTTTGCTACTAACATGGCTATCCTGAGTCATGTGAGCAAATGACTATATTGTAATTCTTCAGTCATACTATTAAAATGTGTATGGAATTAATGTATGAAATAATGTCAGAGGAAATTTGAAATTGTACATCATTTTCTCAATAGCCTTGATTTATATTGTGTATATCTCTTAGAATTATTAATAAATGTTTGTTGAGTGGGGAAAAAATTAACTACATTGGTGTGAACAATAGTTTGAAGAGGATTCTGACCCACGAAGTACCAGAACCTGGGGAGATACCT